TGTCATGTTTGGGTGAACAATTCCATTTTGATAAAGTTAAAATGAATTCAAATTATATTTATTTAATAGTTTCATTTTACAATAGTTTTGAAATAGTTTGGTTGGTTTAAATAAAGTCGTATAACTGTAATTATATAGGTTAACGGTCGAATAAATAAATGGAAGTAGCAAAAAACAAACAACAAGGAGAGCCATCAATGGCATGAATGAAATGGCACAGAAAACTGACGTGAAACAACGGAGGTCTTCTAAGACCGTAAACAAACTAAATTGTAGAAATAATATATGATGTGCGATGTAGTTCGGCTTAGTAGTCAACTAGTAACTCTCTCAGAACCAAATCAATCTTTATTTTATCGTATCTGCAAAACCAATAACTGTCAGACTGTGCGAAAAAGTATTTTGCCATAACCTTTTTTTAAAGGAGGTTGCGGGAATCATCGAATGTCTTCTGTCCTTCTGCCCAGGGTGAAGTGAGACGGTACCAGACGCTTACCGATTAAAAATTCCTTCTCCTGCTCTAGGTCGAGGCCGCGGTACCTTATGCCGCTTGCGATGCAACCGGCTATACTCTTACTCTCTGTCAAATATCTCTTAGCCAGTACTGTACCACCATCATCATCATCATCCTGTTCTTGTCCCGTTTTATTTGGGGTCGGCGCAATATGTTTTTTTCTTCCATTCTGTCCTGTCACTCGTCACGCTATCACTAACTTCTCTGTCTTCCATATCATTTCTCACACAATCCATCCATATTTTCTTTGGTCTCCCTCTCCCTCTCCATCCATCCACATTTATACTCATGGCTTTTTTTGGGTGGTTCATCCCTCCTTTTCACATGACCATACCAAGACAAATCTGTACCACCAATATTTTCAATTAAAAACTAATATCAATTCAAGAGAATTATCCGTCAGAATGGTTTTCATTTTTTGTAAGTAAAGCAATATAGGTATGTACTTACGTTCAGCCGCGGACCAATTTGCTATTTTCTATTTCTTCAGAAAAAAAGACACAAGACGTTTACCATTTTTTTTCTAGAATAACAAATGACAGATTTGAATAAATTACTCGAAATAAACGTGAAAAAGTAATTTTATTTTTATCACGATTCAAATTTTTTATTCAAAATCGTTGTCTCCAAATCTCATTGTATTTTCTTATGCAAAATAAATGGTAATATATTGAATGGATTTATTTTAAGAATAAAATGATTTTTCATTTTATAATATCTAATTATATTTATTACATGTAAGTCAAATTGTTGAAAGGGTTTTGACATATAAAAGAACAAGAATATTTATGTGAGATTGTCGGTCAAAATGTATCTCAGTCTTTTTTGAGATAGATTGGTGAATGGCACTGATTATAAATTTGATTTAAATTTTATCCATTCCAAAAAAGACTCTCATCATCATCATCAGCCTGTTGTCGTCCACTGCTGGACATAGGCCTCCCCAATTGCACGCCACTGAGCTCGATGTTCAGCTCTTCTCATCCAACCACTGCCAGCCACCCTGCGGATGTCGTCAGTCCACCTAGCTGGAGGGCGCCCTACACTACGTTTGCCTAGACGTGGTCTCCACTCTAGAACACGTTTACTCCATCGGTCATCGGTTCTTCGACAGATGTGACCTGCCCACTGCCACTTAAGTTTGCTAATCCTTTGGGCTATGTCGATAACCTTAGTTCTCTGTCGGATCACCTCGTTTCGAATACGATCCTTCAGAGAGACTCCAAGCATAGCCCTTTCCATAGCTCGCTGAGCGACTTTAAATTGGTGGATCAGTCGCACTGTAAGTGTCCACGTCTCGGCTCCGTATGTCATCACTGGTAGGACGCACTCATTGAAGACTTTTGTCTTCAGGCTTTGCGGTATCTTTGACGAGAATACCCGACTGAGTTTCCTATACGCTGCCCAGCCAAGCTGTATCCTCCTACGAGCCTCCCTCTCGAAGTTGTTTCTACCGAACTGGATAGTTTGCCCGAGGTAGACGTACTCTTGAACAACCTCGAGAGGAGATCCATTGATGGTGATCGGCTCCGGGAGAACATGTTCATTGAACATGACCTTCGTTTTTTGTAGGTTCATCCGGAGTCCGATGCGAGCAGAGGAATCAGCCAGGCTGTTCAGCATATATTGTAAGTCCTGCACGGTTTCAGCCACGATTACAATGTCATCTGCAAATCTCAAGTGTGAGAGATACTTGCCGTTAATATTTAGGCCCCGGCCTTTCCAGCGCAGCGTCTTGAACATATCCTCCAAAGCATTAGTAAACAGTTTGGGGGAAATAACGTCCCCCTGTCTTACGCCTCGATGCAGGTGGATAGGTTCAGACTGCTGGTTCTGTACTTGAACGACCATAGTGGCAGCATCATATAGATCTCTCAACACTTGAACATACCGCCAGTCGACTTGGCACCGTTGCAAGGACTCCAGAACAGCCCAGGTTTCGACAGTATCAAAGGCTTTCTCGTAGTCCACAAACGCCAGGCATAAGGGCAGATTATACTCTTCGGTTTTCTGTACAATCTGCCTCACTGTATGTATGTGGTCCACGGTACCATATCCCCCTCGGAACCCGGCCTGCTCAGGGGGCTGAAACTCGTCGAGTCTTCGCGCGAGACGATTTGTTATGACCCTGGAAAACAGCTTATAGACGTGGCTCAGAAGAGAAATAGGTCGGTAGTTCTTCAGAAGGGTTTTGTCTCCCTTTTTAAAGAACATAATGACGACACTTTTGCCCCACGCCCTTGGAGTTCTCCCCGAGAATAGAACGGAATCAAACAAGCGTTTAAGTCGCTCAAGCACTGGCTTTCCACCGGCCTTTAGGAGCTCCGTTGTAATTCCATCCTCTCCGGGGGCTTTTCCATTTTTAAGCTGCTTCAAAGCCAACGCAATCTCGTCTTGGCTGATCTCTGGCATGTCTTCGGTAAAGTGGCGGATAAGTGTGGCCCTAGGATCCCCCGAGTCTCGATATGGACGCGGTGCTTTTGAGGTGTACAGATCACCGTAGAAGCGCCGAACCTCCTCGAGAATTTCCGGCTTAGAAGAGACGATATTACCATCCGGTGTGGTCAACTTCGTCAGATGGCTTCGATTTAATTGCTGGCTGAAGACTTTTGACCCCCGGTTTCGCTCAATCGCTTCTTTTATAGCGCGAGTATTGGCGCTTCGGAGATCACGTCTTATCAGCTTTGAGATCTTTTTATTAAGATCTGACGAAGCGACTGATGGGTTGTTACGTCGCCTCTCCATAACCTGTAGGCACTCTCCCGAAAGCTTGGCGCCCCTGCCGGTATTCTGCTTCCGCCATAATCTCGTCCCTTCGTCTCGGAGGATCCCTACTGTTTGGTCAAGTTCCTGGTCGATATCAATGTCATTTGTGGTTTCCAAGGCAGCAAATCGGTTTTCCAGTTTTAACTGAAATGTTTCAGACCCAACCACGGCTTGGAGCAAGTTTGGTCGGAGCGTAGACTTCATGAGACGGACACGCTCGGAGTCATATTTGATGTTTAGAGTGCCTCGCACAAGTCGGTGATCACTTCCGGTATTAAACCTATTGATCACTGAGACATCTCTAAATATTCGTCTCTTGTCCGTCATAATGAAGTCTATTTCATTTTTTGTCATAGCGTCGGGGCTCCGCCACGTCCACTTCCGTTGGGGCTGCTTCTTAAAGAAGGAGTTCATCAAAAATAGCCCCTCTTTTTCCAGGAAGTTAACGAGCATTTGCCCCCTATGGTTCCTGCTTCCAAAACCATGTGGTCCTACTACCGACTCGCCGCTAGTCTGTACTCCCACTTTAGCATTGAAGTCTCCCATGACAACGTTGAAATGGGCCTTTTGGGTGGTGTGTAAGGCCCTGGAAATGTCTTCATACAATTCCTCTACCTCATCATCCGAGTATGTCGAGGTAGGTGCGTACACTTGGATGACCTTTAGGTTATACCTCTTGGTGAGTTTGATCACAAGGTACGCTACCCTTGCTGACACACTGGAGACCTCAACAACGCTGTCTGACAGAGATCTGTGGACCAAAAACCCGACGCCACCCTGTGATGGTTGGTCTCCTTCCCTGTAGTACATGAGGTGGCCAGACTCCAAAGTTACGGTATCCTCTCCCTGTCTTCGGACTTCACATAACCCCAGGATATGCCACCTCACGTTTTCTAGCTCCACCTCTAACTGTGCCAAATGTTCATCGAGCCGTAGCGTGCGTCCGTTATACGTAGCCAGAGTCAGTTGGTGTTGTCGGCCTTTCATAGCCCGGAGATTCTTAGCACCCCCTACCCCGCCGTTACTATGACCGCCGACTTGGCCAAGAATAGCGGGGCGACCGGGAACTGGGGGCCGTTTCGTTAGGCGTGCCATTAGAGGTAATGCCCGTAATCACCACGCTGGGCAGGCGGGTTGGTGATCGCAGGGCGTAGCTCCTCGCACTAGTGACGCTGCTGCCCGACACTAGTCTGCTGAATTTGTCTACGCCTACATTTTATGGTTATACCGCCATGAGTCGGTCGCCAGAGCCTCGTTCGTTAATCAGCAGGATGCACCACGAGCAGGTGAGGTTGACTGGGGCACTAAGATAGTATTTTCCCCCTTACATCCCAAAAAGACTCTAAAGATTTAAAAATAACTACCTAAATTAAAAAAATATATTTTTGGGGTTATTTCTTGAGAAGGAAAATCATCAAATGACTTCTCCCATCCTTGACAGGGCGACAGAAAATGTCACTCTTATTGACTAAAAACCACCTTTTCCTTCTTTTGAACTGCAGCAGTACATTATTGAGCTTATACCTGCAACCCTATGTGGTATCCACGATAGTTGTTCATAAAATGGTCACCTAAAATACTCGAAATATATGACATAATAATATTTTCCCCCATCCCAAGTTATAGGTACCTAACTGCCATATTGTCGAATACAAGCAAATCAGACAATAACAATAAATTATACGAAACCAATTAATTAACAGAAACTTCTCTTTGTTACAGAACAACGATGACCTGAACGGAACGAACTGAAAACTTCAACAAACAATGAATAAATGAAAACGATCGAAGATGCGAAATGAAATTTCTATTCAAAATTTTCAAGAGGTGACGGTGAAGAAGAAAATGTACGAAAACATTTCATCGAAATGTCTTATGTTAGAGAGTTTATAAATTCAATGTAATAATGTGCGGAGATAAAGAGACATTGAAATACACTGAGTGTAAGGTTGGCGGTCGGATTGTCAGTGAAACGGAGATAGAACGAGCGAGATAAAGGTAAGGATGATAAATGATGTACTGGGAACGAAGATTATATGTGTTCAGCCTGTAGTTGTTTGTGTATTAAGGAATAGTAATATTCTATGAATCGTAGATGATACTGTTTAATTTGTTGACTAATGTGTTTGATGCAAACATTTAGTACCAATGCTTTGTTTTCAACAGAGTTAGAAAATCTTACATCTACATTTAAAAGTAACTTAGTACATGGTATGGTACAAGTTGTTAATTTTTCTGTAAGCAAAGAAAAAAAAAATGGGGACTATATAAACAAATACTACAATAACAACATATTTTGAATAGCAAAACCTTGCAAGGGTTTTACTATTATTGGAATCGTATAAAAGTTCAAATATCCCTATATAATTAACACTGCACTAAAACTATTCAAATATAAAAAAGATGAAACCGGCAAAAAGTTACCGATTTCCAAAGAATTCGAATAAAAACGTAATACCAATCAAAAGGGAAACAAAATACAAAATTCAAACATCACCACAGAGATCCACCATGAGGTTCAGTAACAACCTCATTGCTTATTAATCTTCCAACGTCTGATGCTTTTGAAGCAAAAGAAAAATCTCACAATACAACTGTTTTGTCTAAAGTAAACGAACATTTTACGGGAATATTATGAGCAGCCACGCAAATATTCACTTTTTATTTCGTCGTCACATTTTAATTTCTTGGTTTGTTCTTCCGTTGCAGACTTATCTTTTTCGTGGCTCTTTGCTTTCAGAGCAACGGGATTAAGAGTATTTGATCTAAATATTATAGCGGTCCACGTTGACTTAATAATGTTAATTCTATGTAAAAACATTTTTACTTTTCTTAGGCTGGTTTGTTACGTTCATTGTAAATGAAGTATTGTAAAAGACAAGAGAAAAGTGAACTTTTTTATTTTGATGGCAACTGATCTGACAGATTATGAAATGGTAAGCAATCGGCTTATAAATAGTCGTGGTGGCCCAAAGGTTAAGGACTATTAAGGAGCCCGCTTCTCATGCATGAGGGTGTGGGTTCGAAACCTGGCAAGTACCAATGTGACTTTTTCCGAGTTATACAGTTGTATGTAATTTCTATGATTATTTAGACATCACTGACATACGGTGAAGGAAAACATCGTGAGGAAACCTGGACTTCCATTTTCTAATTATAAGTTTGAAATCGCCAACCATCATTGAGCAATCGTGGTGATTAATACTCTAACCTTCTGCGCATGAGAAGAGGCCTTTGCTCAACAGTGAGCACTTATAGGCTGATGGTGAAGCAATCGGCTGCATACTTGGCTATGGGCTTCTTACTCCTCTAATGAACAGAAGTTGCAAGTGCGCTTCTGCCTTTTAATAATAAGAGGATTTCGGGATTAAGGATTGGATTGGTATCCTTATCTTCCGATTAAGTCTGCCCATACATATGCCAAAACACATCATAAGTGTTTAAATGACATTAGCTCCATGACGTTTTTATGTGAAGACTTGGTAACACTCCGACCAAGCCGAATTATTTCTATTAGTGCCAAAGCATGGCTCTCGCACACATCATTTTTAGATTTGTTTTATAAACTGTATCTTTTATTTCATGTTCGTTGTGTTAATTTTAATTAAATAGTAATACTTTTATGCTATCTAAGGCACAAAATTAGTAGTCGATATTCTAAATTAAGAAGAAACGATATATTTCATCCTTGATTTCAAAACCTTCTTCAAAACCAAAATTAATTTCCATTCAATAGCCCAATTTAAGCAGCTCCTATAATGCCTAAAATAGAATTCTTAAGAAAACCGATCACCATTATGAGTCAGTGTAAAATCTAGGACCCTTTTTCTTGAACAAAAACTTGTGGGGTCCCTGAATGTATAAAAACTACGGTGAAATAATTCAGCTGAGCTCACATATCGATCCTAGAATTTATGAGTCTGCCGACGGTCATAAATTTTGAGATCAAAGGGAAGACTAAGCTGCGAACGCTGTTCTCAGTTTACAATAGAACGCGTAATATAGACCTAGATAACAATATTGGAGTTCCCCTTTTTGTACGTACCTAACTGTAATCATTGCTATGTCTTCAGCCTTTAAGTTTCTAATACTGCCAAGAAGCTTCTTCTCACACGAAGGTTTTATCATTATTTACCACGCTCGTTCAAGGAAGATTGCTAATGCCAAAATTATGATTAGAAATTTTACTATATTGCAGAAGTGTCTAGAAAAATGTTTGAAAGTTTTTTTTAAAAGTTAATTTAAACGGTGTCCCTCTCTACGATATCCTCTGTGTCGTGGGTGCATTTACAAACATACAATTTCACATACACATTACACCCAGATCTGGAAAAACAATTTGTGGATCACTCAGTTGTTCCGTGCAGGATACGAACCCGCGCCAACCATGCGGTATACGAGTAATTAAAGTTTCTAACTTCAATCACACTTTCCATGACTTGGCAAACGAGGTCGGATATAAAATAAAAATAAAATTGTAGCAATAGAACATACAAAATTATCACCAAAACAGTACAAAAGACAAAATGTCAAAAACAGTGTATTCATCCCCAAAAAATCAACAATCTTCCATCGGTGACGCCAAAATGCGGGTTGCATTCGAAATTGTACAATCATTACGTTAAAAAATGACACTACCAATATTGACATACAAAGAAAGGGCTATTAAAAATCGAGGAAATTATATAGTTACTAGCTTCACTTGCGCGGTTTCACCCGCTGCTCGTCTTCATTTGATCGTAGCGTAATATTTTATACCCCTCAGCACTCAGGAACATTGTAGCTATCTATCAGTGAAAGAATTTTGGCAATCCGACCAGCAGTTCCAAAGATTACCTCCTACATACAAACTTACAAATTTTACTTCTTTACAATATTAGTATAGATTAATATTATGACAAAACTGAGTTGAAATAAGAGAAGCAATTTGATGGATTCAACAACATTTTTGTCGATTGTAATAATTAAAAGAACTAAAAGTTAGAGGTCTCATATCGAGTAGAATATTTGTACTGTTGAAGGTCAACTTATATTGGTTATTATAATTTCTTGGAATATCATCATTAGTAGTAAAGGTATTTTGGTAAATATTTTATTTACTGAACGTTAAACTGATATTTTTTTCTCAAATAATTTTAGATTGAATATCTCTTTCATAATTAATAGAAGCTTTAGAGGCAGTATTTATTGGATATTTTTAGTTAATATTATTGAGATTTACGATGTCTTATTTTGTTTTGTAATTACATTCCTAGAAGGTTAAAAGATAAAAGGTTTTATGGAATAAATCACCCCCTATGATAAGACTGCCCATTGTACCTACCGTCTGTAGCTATCATATATAAATTTTAATATAATATTAGGTGTCCTAATAATTGATAAGAAGTAATTCAATTAGATTCGATTAGGTATGCGTTAAAAACTTTGATTTTTTTGGGACACCCTAGCATGCAAGTCACTAAATACCTCAAGTTCAGTCGTTTTGTATTAGGATAATAAATATGGCTTCATACGTTATTAAAATATCAGCTATGAAAGATAGTTTGCGGCTGGCGTAGTAGCTGGGAAATAAGCTGCTATACAACATGTCGCCGGTTCGATTCTCGTACGTAACAAAGCTGTGTGTGGTCTACAAATTGTTGTTTCGGTTCTGGGTGGTATGAGGATATACTATGTAAACGTACCTACAATACAGAAGAACATCCAAGCGTAGGGCAACAATTATTTTAATAAAAAACACATCATATCTTTGCCTGATTTTTGAAAAGAAGGTGTGTACATTCAGGTCAATCGGACAACAGAAAGATACTTAACTTTTAATTTCTAATTCGGGACTATAACATAAGTTTCTTTTTCCCCAGGCCACCACATATGGATCGTGAAAATTTTACCCAGTACGCGGTTCGGAACGCGACGGCCAACGCGACTGACAACAGCACAGTCGCGGAGATCGATGAGGACCTGACACATAGCTTATTCTACAGACTGAGGATGTCGGTGCTCCTGCTGATTGTGATCATGGCAGTGCTTGGCAACATGCTGGTTATAGTCAGTGTTATGCGGCACAGGTATGTTAAAACTTTGTAATTTTTTCATACTTGTAAATATTATGTAGGTAGCATAAGATTTTTTTTGATATTAAAGAACGGCAGACGAACAGACCTATTGCCAGATTGTATGCAATCGGCGCCGCTGATGGTCTTCTGCAAAACCAAAGAAGTTACGCGTTGCCTTTTAAGAATAAGGGTTTTAGATATTAAAGAATTAGGAAGGAATGGGGGAATAGGGAGAGATTGGGCCTCCGATAACCTCACTCATACTGCGAGATACAACGGTGTCGTTGTTTCAAGCTGGTTTTTTGTAAGGCCGTGGTATCAGTCTGGTCGAACCGACCCATTCAAGCCTTGCTCTCCCACACTTTGAAAATACTTTCCTCTGTCTATGCAAATTCACGGTCTCATAGAAAACCGGCGTGAAACAACCACGTGATTCGCCGCGTGAGTGAGGTTACCGAAGGCCCAATCTTGCCTTTCCCCCAGTCCCTCCCTAATTCGTAATCCCCGAAAGGTCAGCATCGCCCTCGTAACATCTCTGTTGTTTCGGGTATCCATGGGCGGCGCTGATAACTTACCATCAGGTAATCCACCTGCACGTATGCTCAATATAATAACATACTAAAATTTTGGTATGTTTCTTTAATTTTCAACTTAAGGTTTAATAAAAATGTTAAAATTTTACCTAGAACTACATAAACTTTTTATTAAGCTAAAATATTCAAAGTAATATACAATTTAAATTTCATTCCAAGATCGAATGTTTATAACTAAGAACTGTTTACTTAGCAAAAATAATAATATCTTGTTTCAATAAAAATCCACATTAAATATTACGACTGTATCATAAAAATAACATAAATTACATACATTGTATTTATACGAGTAAATAAAAAAGATTAATTCAGATTCATATAAGGAATATTACAGACATTTTATAACTGTTTTCAAAGAACGACTAGCTACGGTACTAAGCAAACATTCAACGATTGATTAAAACCTACATTTACTTACTATTAATATGTTTGTGGTAAATTCTATTTTATCTTAAGATATTATTCTGTGAGAAGGTAAAATCCAAATTTCCAAATTCCAAATTAATATCTCGTTGTCCTTTTTTCACGCCTAAACTACTGAACTGACTTCTGTGAAATTTGGCACAGACATAGTTTGAAACTGGAGAACGGACATAGGATAGTTTTGATAACAAAAATCAGCAAGAAGTCACTAATATACGCGAACGCGAAGTCGCGGTCAAAAGCTAGTTAATAATATCTGTATAGTGATTAATGCCGTACTTTTTTTGAGGAGGGCAAAATCATCTAATAACTTCTCTTGTCAAGGTCGAAGTAGTGGTACTTTTGTTGGCTAACGAGCAGACGGATTACCTGATGGTCAGCAATCAGCGCCGCCCATGGACTTCCGCAACAACAGAAGAGTTACGAGTGCGTTGCCGACCTTATAGGGATTAGAGTTTTGGAGATTTAGGGATTGGGGAAGGATTATGATTGGGCCTCCGGTAACCTTACTCACACAGCGAAACACAACGCTGTGGTTGTTTCACGTCGGTTTTCTGTGAGGCCATGGTATCACATGGTGCCGAAGCATGGCTCCCCCACACTTAAACTCGTGATTGACAAAGTATCGGCCTTGTTGAGTTCCATCTGTGGTGGTTTATTGTCTCTTAGAGGCACGTGCGAAACGCGACGCACCGCAGACCTACCCACCGGAGCTATTTCTGGTCGGGCAGTTAATTATGATATGCACGGTATACTGACAATAGAAATAGTCAAGAAAAGTTTTTTGGACGTCATATACTCATAATCCTTTGTTAGGATTTGAAATTAGCTTAGATTTATAATTAGGATTTTAATACTTAATAATTTGGCAAAAGTCTTAATCTTTTTAAACAAGTTTAATAACTCAAATCGTTGTCCGAATAAAATTTAACCAAATCACTTTTTGTAACGATTCGAAAAGGGCCAGACCGCTTAAGTTCCAACCTTATCGCCAGCCGTTGACCCGAAAAATGAAGTTAGTTTAAGTCGACCATTAATTCAAAGAATCTTTTAGCATTCCTTTATTAAATGAAACTTTCGAAAATTAAGCTAACAAGTCTAATTTAGGGATAACTGTCTGTCGGCCATTATAATTCTACCAGAGAATTATAATTAAGTTTCGAATCTTTACCAAAATTGGTCAATCTCACACCGACAGTGTGATTTGAATTTGGAAATTATTATCGAAAAGTTTTTGAAGTTAATTTATTAAGTTTTTAATGAAGACGTACCTATTTGACGAATGCGTTAAATTTATTCAATTTATTAATTTGTGAATTAATACAATTCGAAAACAAAAAAAGAATGGTAATATCTTTTTAGTTTTAATTCTCAGAGGATTAGATTAGTATATTTGGTAAAAGATTCTGATACTAATAGTTTTAACCAGTATTCACAATAAATAAAATAAATCAGTGTTAATTAGTGTAACTGCTCTGTTGCGAGTGTCAGCAGACATTGATTGCTTACCATGAAGTAAACAGTACCTAGTTGGCCGCCCTATGAAAAAACGACTGCTATCATTTACGTAATGTAGTATGCACAATTTAAAGATAGTAAAAGCGTTATTAAATTAATTGACAACGTATTTATAGCAGTGAGTTACTTAAATCTTGTCTCGTTAATGAAGTTCCAAAAATTACGCATACTATGCTTGTATTCTAAATTCGTTTAATAATTTAAGAAAAATTTAGCGTAGCGTTCCGCGCTCACCTCAAACTGCAACTACAGATAGGGGCTATGTTTACTGTTTACAGGGCCGAAGTTCAGCCGGCCAGAGCAACCGCGATCTCGGCCTAGAGCAGAAGATACAGAGGCTGACACTCTTCTCTCTCGCCTTAATCTGGGCAATAGAAGAATAAATTGATGATTTTCCGCTTACAAAAAAGTAGATTAATCATGTGTATAGAAACAACAATGTAAGGATTACGAAATAGGACCTAATAAGTAAAAATATAATGCAGATACAACGCCGCACAACTTAAAGACTTCAAATAATAAGAAATAATACACAAAGACGAATTGATCATTTTCGGTGCAGAAACTCATCAAAACTTTGATACAATGGCAGAACAATGAGAAATCAGAAATATAGTAATATATATTTCGCTAAACTAATCCTTACTATGAGGCCTGCGTCACAAGTGTAAACGTTTCCATCGTTATAACTTTCGTCCAAGCAATCAAAAGTTTCGTTCCCTTTTTCTTCTTATCATCAGTTCATTCTAATAAACTAGTCACTGAAACGGTTGGACAAATTACTTTATTATTCGCAGACATTTTATTTCATTCTTCTGTATCTTGTAGTTTGTTGGAGACTTGATGAAACTTTTTTTATGAAGCATTTCTAAAGAATTTGATAAAGAAAAGAAAGAAAAAGAGAAAGTCTGATTAAACTCGCAATTGAAATTTTTGCCATTTAACTCTTCCTGGGATAATAAAGTGCCAAAATAGGTATAGCTCAAGTGTAGCAGATGCTTCAGCATGAATAGATAGATATTACTCCGGTCGAGTTGTCACGGTCACGGCCGTAGGTTGTGTTTCGCCGTATGAGTGAGCTTAGCCTATCCTTCCTCCTTCCTCAAACCTCAAATAATCCACAAGAGGCCAGCAACGTCCTTATAGTAACTCCTTTGGTATTGCGAGTACCATCAGGTAATCCGTCTGCTCTTTTGCCAACCTCCCGGAGTGATACCACAGCCTCGCGGAAAACCGGCGTGAAACAACCAAAGTGTTGTGTTTCGCCGTGTAAGTGAGGTTACCGAAGGCCCAATCCTTCCCTAACCCCAATCCCTCCTCAATCCCTGAGTCTCCAAATCCCTTATCCCTAAAAGATAGGCAACGCACTCGTAACTCCTCCGTTGCGGGTGTCCATGAGTGGATGGGTGGCTGCTTACCATCAGGTAATCCGTCTGCTCGTTTACCGAACTATTACATAAAAAAAATATGCCATAAAGCTATTTCAGTCTTCTACATGTCTGTGATTAAAGCCGTTGAGCCTAAAATCCAAACAATTTTAGCTTTTAATCTCCACTTGTGTCCCTAAGAGTCTCGTAATAAGCTATTATTTTATCATTATGTACTATATATAAATATAATATGTTATCCCTTTACTTGCGTTTAACGATACTCTGGAGCATACAGGCTGTCCATTTTACCTTTTCTCTAGAGTGTCATAAAAAAGGACAAACATTGAGTGAAGTTTTCTCGCTAACCAGCTATTTGAAAAAAAATCATAAAACTGTATATCACCATATTTTTTTAATGGTATAAGTCGGCAAACAAGCAGACGGATTACCTGATGGTAAGCAATCAACGCCGCCTATGGACACCAGACCTGCAACACCAAAAAAGTTCCGAATGCGTTGCCGAATATTTAAAGACTGGGAAGGGATGGGATGGGGGGAAGGATTGGGCCTACGGTAACCTTACTAATACGGCCAAAGTACAGCTGATGGCTCAGCCACTCCGTCAAATGTGCAGTCAATTAAAATGATAGCTGTTCCGCAATTAATGCTATTCGTTTTCCACAGGAAACTTCGAGTCATAACCAACTATTTCGTCGTGTCCCTTGCGTTCGCTGACATCCTCGTCGCTATGGTGGTAATGCCGTTCAACTTCAGCGTCCAGTTTGCCAACAAATGGCTCTTTGGACCCACCATTTGCGATCTTTGGAACTCTTCAGATGTCTACTTCACATCGACATCAATATTACATCTGTGTTGCATATCTGTGGATAGATACTACGCCATTGTCAAACCTTTGAAATATCCAATTAAGATGACGAAAAAGGTGAGCTTTTGCCTTTTTTCTTATTATATTATAGTAATATCTCTTTATTATCCTTATGATAATTCCTTCAAAAATGCGTTCTATAAAACCAAATCCACATTAGTGTTATATAAAATTTGAATCAGTCACAGTCACAATCACAATCTCTCCTGTATCGTTATTGAGATTTACAAAAACAGCTTTTTTTCCTCACCACCAATTAAATGTTTTCATACATATTAATTTTATTTGTCTAAAACAACTCCATCCACATCTTGACGTCCATCTTTATCATGAAATACTTTATCTTCAGTTTCAATCAGTTCAGCTTAATTGACCCCAATATTTTCTGAACCAGTTTTTTAATAATTTTATAATCAAGACCTAGTTACAAGAACATGTTCTTTGAATCCTTACTTTGTAATGTTGTAATTAAAATGTAAACCTAAAATAAATAATTTGTAACTAAATCAAACATATTCAAAATAATTGAGATAAATATTAAATACTCTACAAATGTAAGTATAATTTATAGTCTCTGTGAATATTTAATAATTACAGTTAATTATGAATTCAATGTGAGAGTAATTGTCGACTTAGTTAATCACTAGAAACTGGTTCCAGGAATATGTTTAATTGGGGTATTGAATTCTTGTTCTGTACTGTTGTTGTTATAATAGGAATTTCAAAAAAACATAACCACTTAACATATTTTTTTTTATTTATTTAATAGGCCGGCAAACGAGCAGACGGATTACCTGATGGTAAGCAATCAGCGCCGCCCATGGACACTCGCAACGGAGGAGTTACGAGTGCGTTGCCGACCTTTTAGGGATTAGGGATTTGGAGATTAAGGGATTTAGGAGGGATTGGGGGAGGGGAAGGATTGGGCCTCCGGTAACCTCACTCACACGGCGAAACACAACGCTGTGGTTGTTTCACGCCGGTTTTCTGTGAGGCCGTGGTATCTCTCCGGTCGAGCCGACCCATTCGTGCCGAAGCATGGATCTCCCACACATCATCAGTATTTTTAATATAATTTTTATTTTCAGATGGCATTCATCATGCTAGCAGCAACATGGTTAAGTCCGATCACGATATCCTACGTGCCAATCTTCATGGGCTGGTACACAACCAGCGACCATTTGAAAGTGCAAAAAGCTGACGAGTGCGAATTTAAAGTAAACAAACCCTACGCAGTAATATCCAGTTCAATCTCATTCTGGATACCCTGCACCATAATGTTGTTCACCTATTATGCAATATTCAGGGAAGCGAATAGGCAAGAGAAGAATTTGCACGCACGAGCTGGAAACGCGATGCTAATGCACAGACATTCTCGTGAAGTAGGTGATAAAAATGGCGCCTTACATATAAACGCAACGACTCCAACGAAGGATAGAAATATCCTCAAAATGAAGAGAGAACACAAAGCAGCGAGAACTTTGGGCATCATTATGGGTGCCTTCATTCTTTGCTGGCTTCCTTTCTTCCTGTTCTACGTGTCAACGTCATTGTGTACCTCTTGTAAATGCCCTGAAGTTGTAACAGTGATCATGTTCTGGACTGGGTACTTTAATTCAGCATTGAACCCGATCATTTATGCGTATTTCAATAGAGACTTTCGTAATGCATTCAAGAACACTCTTGCGTGTGCATTCTGTAGTTTCTGTAGACGAAGTGCTTCGGATCTTGATGCTTTAGAACGGTTAGATAGACGTGGTTCTGCCCAACTGAGAGTGCCAGTCCCATCTCGAAGAACTTCAGACTTAGCATCGCTTTGAATATCGCCAAAGTGCGAAGTGACAGCTGTTTAAGAGGCCTAGCAAAGTCTCAACGAAATATTTAAGAACATTTGTGTACTTATTTCCAAAGTTGATGTGATTTATTTAGAATCGTCGTGGTAAATATTATTATAATTTGTATAGAAAAATATACGATCGTCGTGTTGTATTTAGGAATGATAAATAGGTTTTTATTCAAAAATGAATTAATGATTCTTGGTTTAGCTGTTTAATATAAAAAATACAATTTAGGTGAGGATTTGTTAATTCATTTCTGAATTCGAATTAGGTAATTATTGTAATTTAATAACTCTGATAATTCTTTGTAATTATCAATTTGAACCAAAGAACTTTATTTTTCTACTTTGAAAATATTTGGGATCCTTCTTATCTAGCAAAAACGGATGTGTTTCCTTTATCAATTTAATTAAATAGGTATTTAACATTTCGTAACTCATCACACTATAAATATAGTCTTTAAAAAATTTAATAACCTTCAACACAATATAACAGCGTGTTATTCAAACTAAAATGCCATTATCAACTAGGTACATAATAAAAAATATTTAAATAAATAAAATATCTAAAACAACATTTTCAAATGTTCGTTCGATAACACGTTGGCATAAAACAAAAATTGCAAATAATATTCATAAAAATAAATATCAAGTTGTAAATAATTTAATAAAATAAAAATACGTAGTATATTAAATAATAAATTAGTAAAGTTTCTCATGTGACGTAGATTCTGAGTGTTGTAATAATAATTAATGTGTTTATTTATTTTTGTTTTAAAATACTAATATTTACATCTTATTTTTCACTATTCTGTTCTTTTATTTTGTCATAAAATTATCCAAAAATTTTTGCATAATAGAATCATTCCATAATAGAACATTTTAAAGTCATTCTGATATACCTAATGTATAACGTAGGCTGTTTTTATATTAACGGGCCTAAGTGTAATATTGAACTATTAAATGAGGCCAAAGTCTTGTAAATACGTAGATTTTAGGAATAAATTAAATTATTATTAGAATAAAATGCATAGTCTGTAGTTATAAGTAATAAAATAACTACTAAAGTATTTCTAACAAAAAATATAATAGTAAATTGATATTTATTGAGTTTAATATGTGTAAGTTTAGAAAATTGTACTTGGTTTTTATAACAAAAATGTAACTTGTTTTTAAACAAATAATGTGTCTACGCTAGATAACGTAATTAGAATATTAAATTATACTAATAAGTCAACAAATAAAATAAAATTGTTTGCCTTTATTTTTATTGGATAAATGTTTATTATTTTTGCTTAAATTATTAAATAAAAATAAAATATACTTTAAATGAATTTAATTTTAGTAAAATACGTAATTTGATTTTGTAACGAAATGTAAGTAGACTTTTTTGTAAATATCTATTGTATGAATTTTGTATAGATTTGTAGATACATAGTTTAGTATAATTATTTCTAGGTATATCAGTCACTAAGTAATTAATATTACGATTTTATTTAAATTAAAATAGGAAGATACTATAATGGGGACAAATAACGCTTCAATAGAGAAAAAAAGGATTTTTAAAATAATGATTATTGATGTGCTACGATAAATAACAAATCTATTAGATTTGATGTGGTCAGTGTTGTGTCAAAACTCATCGTTTTAAATATTAATAGTTGTATGGAATTACTAACTTGACTAATAATCGCACTATCCGCTTTTCAGTATTTCAGACTTTATCAAACACTTAAATAATTTAAGCAAAATAAAATTTTTATCCGTTATATATTTTATGTAACATAAATAAATAAATATTTTTTGTTGTAATTTAAGTTTGAAAATTATTTTAATTTAATGAAATGTATAATTTGTAATTGTTATATAAAATATTGATAAAGTCTGTACTGAGCACTTATTATTTCTTCTTGCGTCCAAATATAATCTAATATTTATTTCGTCGTGTCAATGTCCATAATCCACCGTTAGCTTATATTTCTGCGTTCTCATAAACGGTGTGGAATTGTTGTTTCAAATAAAATAAAATAAATATTGAATAATAATTTTTCTCAAAATTTATTTCTTTTATTAATGCTTATTACAAATTTCTGCAATATTCTAACAAAATTTTGTTTCATAAACTATTTATTTCTATAAATTAATTATTATTATAATCAAATCGTATTGAATTTTTTTAAACAATTTAATAAAAATAATTACTTAAAATTGTTTTATTTGGGCAACAATTTTAATATTCGCTATTGTTAATTCAATGTGTCTTCCTTTTGAATAAGTAACATAGGCTCAAATTATGTGTAAAAACATTAGTGTGTAAAATGTTAGTAAAATATTATTAATATATTTATAGCCAATTTTTAGTGTAAAAAGTATGTGCGAAATTGTAAAAAAGCACGTACGGGCTGTAATTGTAAAAAAAAGTAATAATAAATGGTTGTGACTTCTATAGATATTACAACTAACTTTCTAACAATATTAATCATATCTGAGAAAAACTTATTTTTCCAAAAGAGAACCCTGTGCTTTGTTTGATAAATTCAAATTTCTATTGTACATAATATTTTTTAAATCTGCGATTGAGTTTACAATTTTTGCTAAATCTATTTTTCTTTTGAGATCCGTCCATTTTATTTTTCTTTCTTTTTCGTCTGTTTTCAACTAGTTAGCTTGTTGTGATTTCAGAGAATAATACGTGTTAGAGATTCGTAGACGAATATCAATGTGAAATTTCAGATAAAAATGTATATAAAAAATCAATGTTTGTCTGTTTTTAAAGATCTATAGATGATATTATGATAAAGGAGTATTTAGTGTTTATTTAATGAAATAGATGAATTCAAATAGAAGTTACCGTGGAATAGATAAAAACAGCAATATTACGTAATTTAATTAATGAAACAAATAATTATAATGAGTAGCTCTGTGTATATTTAGCATAGTTTCTTCAACACGATACATTTGCATCTAATAAATTTTATTAATAAAATTTTCGATGCGAATTAAAAAATGTAAATTTACATAATTTTATTTATTTAATTATTCTGTTATTGCTTGGTTAGATATTTATTGAAATTGTAATTTATTAAAATAATTTGTCTGTTGTATCCTAAGATACTGTGATAGTGAATTTATCGTTCGTTATTTAAAAAAAGAAAACCTGATATCACAAATCCTATTATTTTGATATTCTATTAATCTAGTTTTATTGAGATTTTAACTAAAATTATATTTTTAATTTATTTTTAATGTAAAGTTGTAAATATTCTGTTTATTGCCATACGTGATAAATTATATAGATGAGAAACTATATTTAAATTATTAATTAATGTATTATTATTGCTATTATAAAATTGTTTAAATTATTTAAAAAAATAATGATGCGTGGTGCGACTTTAACCTTTAGGTATTTACCTAATATGTGCGTGTAATCAAATGCTTTTTGCAAAAATAAACGAAAATTGTTTCGTATATAATATTTTGTTGTTTTTTTTTATTAAATCTCCTACAAACTCAAACCCACGTTGTCTATAAGACAAATTTAGTTCTTTTTATCAATACACATACAGATGATCAACCTCTCATAGGTTATGACCACTTCTGAGCAAACGCCTCCTCTCACACAGATAAAGTATGAGCTTTAATTACCACGCTTTCTCAATGCGCGTTGGCGATTTCAAACTTATTATTAGAAATTTTTAGTCCAGGTTTCCTAACCATGTTTTCTTTCACCATGTCAGTGGTGTCTAAATAATCATAGAAAGAACATACAACTCGAAAATGTCGCATTGGCAATTAGCAGATTTAGGTCAGGTCTCCTCATGCATGAAAAGCGATTGCCTTAACTTCTGGGCCACCGTGACACTATCACTGATGTATAATAACCAGGAAAACGTACAGACAGCACATCTGTTTATGATAAAAATATGGTATTTTTGTAATAGCACTGACGACACATGCAAAAATTCTACCGTATTTTTTAGCCGTGGTCACGGGTCTTTAGTCAGAAGAGTCTAATATTCCCTCTCGCCATGCCTTAGGAGAGAGGTCATTTGATGATTTTCTCTCCATAAAACTGCGCAACATTTTAAAATTAAAGGTCTTAAAATTACCATCCATTTTTTCTTTGCCTTTCTTCGCATCGTTTTCCTCATTACTGAGGCTTGTGATTTCCTAGTTGTCGACAGATCTTCCAGACAGTTGCTCGCCTCTTGTTCCTATCCTGCTGAATGTATAGCACCGAGTAGGCGGTGGCCAAAGTCGTTCGGATCTGATCCGTACCCCTTTCAGGCTCTTCCTAACGCCCTAGCCGCTGCACTATGCATCGGAGATCAAGATATGATCTCCGGCCACCATAAGCGCGGGTTTGCGGACGGCGAGTAAGGGTAGCTCGCCACCCTACCAGAACCAGACTCGAGCATTCGGCGCGTAGCGTTCAGCGCGCACCTTAAAGAACTTATACACCAACACACACGGGGCCCTATAGGGCTGATGTTCAGCCGAGGTTGCAGGATAAGCGCAATGAGGCACTGCAGCCTTGGCCCAGAGCAGGAGAAGGAACGAGGGTGTTTTTAGTCAGTAAGAGTCTGACACTCTCTCTCGCCTTAGTCATTTGATGATTTTCTCGTGATAAAAATAAACACCTTTCTGGCTCTCATAAGTTAAAATGTTTCTATCTACATTCATCATTTATTCTATCCTTCATATCAAATCTCTAAGTTGCCACTAAAACCCTCAAAATTAATCAGAGTTTAAGACTTAACTTTGGGCTTAACCTTCAGAACTTGGACAGTTAAGTTTGTAGCTGCATTATTCTGGTTCGAACCAGTTCAATCTGTTATGACGTTAGCATTGGTTTGTTTCCAAAGTTTAAAGTTTGTGTGCTCTGAATTTAAAATGGAAGTAAAGAAGTTATTAATTTTTTTTTTTATGTAATTGGTCGGCAAACGAGCAGACGGATTATCTGATGGTAAGCAATCAGCGCCGCCCATGGACACCCGCAACGGTGGAGTTACGAGTGCGTTGCCGACCTTTTAGGGATTAGGGATTTGGAGATTTAGGGATTGAGGAGGGATTGGGGGCGGGGAAGGATTGGGCCTCGGGTAACCTCACTCACGCGGCGAAACACAACGCTGTGGTTAGTTCACGCCGGTCTTCTGTGAGGCCGTCGTATCACTCCGGTCGAGCCGACCCATTCGT